GGTTCCATGCTCACTAGTCGAATGGTATAAATTTCCCATTTTCTCTCTCTAGAAACCCAAAATCGTCGTCCCCCCATCTTCACGCTTTCGACTTTTCTCCCCTCTTTCCTCTCTCTCTCTCTCTCTCTACAATCTACAGTTACGAAAATATAGAAATACAAAGCTGGACCTAGGGTTTAGCCAAGAGAGACGGAGGAATAGAAATGGGGCAGCAATCGCTGATTTACAGTTTCGCGGCGCGTGGGACTGTCATCCTCGCCGATTACACTGAGTTCTCCGGGAACTTCACCGGAATCGCCGCTCAGTGCCTCCAGAAACTCCCCGCCACCAACAACAAGTTCACCTACAACTGCGACGGACACACCTTCAACTACCTCGTTGAGGATGGATTCAGTAAGCGGCGCCTCCTTGTTCTTTTTTCCTGATCTGTTTGCTCTTGTATTTGATTCGTTTCTTCAATCGGATTGTTGCGTTATCTATGAGATTTTGTTTGATTGACCGTCAATAATCGGAGATTTACAGATTTTTTCGGTTTTGTTATGTGGTTTTGTGTGCAAATGAAGTCAGATCTTAGTTGACTGAATATCTCTCGTTGACTACATTCTCAATTAGTTGGTTATTGTTCTCGATCGGATTTATGGTGCTAGAGATGTGATTTCATTCTAAATGGTTAAATGAGCTAAATCGGAAAAACTAGCGTATAAGCAAAAACAGGACTATTGCAAGTTCTACATGGCCAATCATTTGATTTTCAAAATATCATCTCATAAAATTTGTCTGGGGAAATAAGCGTTGTTGATATGATTTAGATTGATCTGAGTTTTATTAATGCTAAATCATTCTTACAGTACCTAGTTTTTGGATTTCAACACTGCATTTCGAGTGTATAGTTTACGGAGATTTCTACTCATTAATTTCTATAGGATTCATTTGGCTGATATTTTCCTAAACTTAATTGACGAAAGGTTGCTTGGATTTGAGGGTCTGGTTGTTACTTTATCAGAAATGCTCGAGGATATGTTCTGTTTTTTTAAGAAGTATATAGTTATGAGCCGATTCTTGCATAAACATTTTTTTCCCTGTGTTCCCTTTTCCAATTTTCCCTGTTTGTGTCCTAATGATTCGTGTTTTTGAATGGCAGCATTTTGTGTTGTCGCGGTTGAATCTGTTGGAAGACAGATTCCGATTGCGTATCTTGAGCGAATTAAGGATGATTTTACCAAGAAATATGGTGGAGGGAAAGCTGCCACAGCTGTTGCCAACAGCCTGAAGAAAGAGTTTGGGTAATATTCTTGATTAGTTCCTGTTTTCTTCTTTAGTATGTCCTGGTTTATAACTTTCATAGTGGACAATCATAACTTACTATGACAACTCAGGCCCAAATTGAAGGAGCAAATGCAGTACTGTGTGGATCATCCAGAGGAGGTCAGTAAGATGGCGAAGGTGAAAGCTCAGGTTTCAGAAGTTAAAGGGGTGATGATGGAAAACATCGAGAAGGTGAATAATTTTCTTACAGTTTCTTCTATTATTTTCTCTTGAAAATGTTCTATTTTAGATATTTTTTTATAAATGGTGTGTGATTCACTATCAAGTCTTTTGTCCTTTCAGGTTCTTGATCGTGGAGAGAAAATCGAGCTTCTGGTGGATAAAACTGAGAATCTCCGCTCTCAGGTCTGTTCGATTGTGTTATATTTATCATTTGTTGGGATGGATTATAAAACATGTAACTCTGTGTTTTACATATTGAATAGATAGTTGCCTCTATAATTAGTATATTTGATTTTCATATAAATACAAATCAATGAAAGACTGTGTTGCTACAAATGAAAAGAATGCCTATAATCATCTGATGGAGCAGCTATGCTAAAATATCAACCGCAGCTCTAATGTATGAAAACAACAATTTCATTGCTTACATTTTGACACGTTCTCTTTGAATAAATTTTGCCCTGTTGTGTTGGTATTTTCTATGTTGATTGGTGGTTCGATTACTGCCTGATAGCCTGGTTTGCCAATTACATCTCCTCCTGCTTATAAATCATATTGCTTGTTCAGCTTTTCAATTATTTATGTTGTTTTTTGTTTCATATTATCTGTTCTTTCTATATGTTCCGTGTTGATGTGATTTTGTTTTGGGATTCTATGTTAGTGTACTGTATCCTTAGCAGTAACCTGAATTACTTATGGTAATCAATCATTGATATGCATTTTCGGGTTATTTTTTTCACAGGCACAAGATTTTAGGACACAAGGAACACAGATGAGGAGAAAGATGTGGTTCCAGAATATGAAGATAAAGCTGATTGTTCTCGGAATTATCGTGGCCTTGATCTTAATCATCATTTTATCAATCTGTGGTGGATTCAAATGCAATTAACTTCTCTTCTATTTTTCGATATTGCTTTTCATCATCCAACTCTTTGTACCCCTAAATTTTTCGGTGACAGGTTTTACTTTTCGTTGTATTTTGTATTTTTGTGAGATATAATAGTGTACTTGTATAGTGTGTATTTCTGAATTCATCTCGATATATTAGCAGAAGCGTGAAGTTTGCGATGCTGTGTTTCTTCCTTTCAGGTAAGATTTAGTGCAAAATATAGTGTTCAGTTTTGCTATGTTTCTCTACTTAGATCCGAATGGGTCCTCGATTTAGACACTTATTATTAGTTCGTGTTCTAATATTGTGTGGGTTGTTTATATGCTATACCTGGTGAAGACTATATCGAGTGATTTTTTTACCATTGATCTTCACAAACTAATGTGGTGTGTGTGTGTGTGTTTGCGTGTATATGAATGGTAAAGATCTACCGGGAATAGCATATAATAGTTCGATTGTTTGTAGAGTTTTATAATTTGCATTGAAATAGATAAATCGACATACAATAAACATTAATTCCCTTTTCCAAACTGAAAATCCCAAATAAAAATATGTACATATACAACCTTAATTGGGATCATTATTCAAACAACATTTCTCATATCTAACAATTCTTGCATCTCCCAACATCTATACCCTCACTTCTCCATTTTCACACACACACACCTTTGACAACAACTAACATGCTGTAAGAAAAAAAAAAGGGTTGAAAATTAAATAAAATTAACAAGCCAACTGATCTCTATACTGAGAAATCTCTTCAAATATCGGTAGCCTTCTCGATCTAGTGCCCCCCCTCTCATTCATTACACGTTCGAGCGCCTCCACAAAATCGTCTTCGAAGCTCAAACCCGGGATAAGAAGATTCGGCAGCAACGGGCCCACAGGATTCTTGGATTCCAACTCCAATTCCAATTCTTTGGCCCGATTTCTCGATTTGAAGTCATCCGAACCTGGAAGCTTATACTGCAAAACATCCTGAAGAACCAAACGGGCCTCTTCGTATCGGGTTTGTTTGATGAGGCATTGGCAAAGATTCAGTGCCTTGTTGGCATCCCCATCAATCATTTGAGCCTTGCGGTACACGACTTCTGCTGCCATGAAATTCGACTTCTGCATGTAGGCCCATCCTAGGTTTCCCTGTAATAGACAATGATCAGTCAGTTGCGGAGCCATCAGTTGCGGAGCCAGCATAGGGGAGGGGAGGGGGCCATGCCCCCCAACATTTCTCAAATTCCTAATATTTTATATATATATTTATTATTTTTCGTGTATTGTTGCATTATCGGCCCTTTAATAAATTAGTGCATATTTAGCCCTTGTGGACATAAAATCCGAGCTCCGTCACTGCATTTAGATAACTTAATTTTTTTTAAATAATCAGCCTGAATGCAATAAACGCGAGGAAATTATAATCTAAAGTAGTACAAGAAACAATCTGAATTATTACTGTTTATGACTTAATAATTACCAGAATTCTTGATGTTTCTTGACTGATAGAAACCTGAAACTTCTTGCCGTGAGAACGAGCAGTTTTTGTCGGCTTCCCGTTGAAAGCCTCTCCTAAATATATGAGCTTCAGCTTATGCTTTAGCAGCACTATTTGTTCATCAACTTTCCCGCATTTCTGCATCGAATTAATTAAATACGTAATGTTTTCATTTATACTCGAGCTTTGCTATTGATAACAATATTTGATGAAAGAAATGCATGCATATACGAAATATATGTATGTGTATAAACCTTGTACAAGTCGATGAGGACATTATCAAGAGATTCTTGGGCATTTCTGGAGCAAAGTCCGCGAAAAGACTTGACAGCTTCGATTGCCTCTTCCGTTCTGTCGAGTTGCTTCATAACTACGGCCATATCTTTTAGGGCACTATCCACTCTATCTCCGGCATTTATCGCCTTCCAAAACCATACTATCGCCGCCTCTTGATCCTTCTGAACTAGCTGTGGATAACACAAGATAGATAGACCAGGGGTGTAAATGAACTGAGTCGAGTTGAACAACATAATAAGTATCTACTATTAAACTTGTCTGGGTCGGCTCAAGCCTATATGGGGCCCGTAGGCTAAAAAAATAAATTTAGCATCCTTATTTTAATTTTTTAACATAAAAGTATATATTTTTGGGAAATATTTTTATTTCTTTTTATAAGTATTAATTATTATTTTATTGTCTTTTCTATAAAATTGAGCTCCATATGCCTTTTTTTTCTGTTTAGTCATAACTTATATATATATATATATATATATATATATATATATATATATATATATATATATATATATATATATATATGTATATATTTTTATATATCTGAATATAAAGAGATAATATATGGGGTCCTAACATTATATATAATAGTGTGGGCATATACATCTAAATCAGAGAGAGAACTAGAACATGTCTGCGTGTCTGAATATATATCGAGTTATAAATTTTTTATTTTATATATATATATATATATATGTGTATGTATCATGAAATTAAGGAGCGTTATGCAACTTATATTTTATGCAAATTAAATGAAAGAGGTTAATTATCCCATTTTCAGCTATTGTATTACTTTTTAGTTTTTAGTTATAAAAGTTAATGTATAAATAGTTTTAAATAGTTAATTCTTTCAACACATTATATTGCCATTTATCAAAAAAAAAAAAAAAAAAAAAAAAAGTCAACTGATAACAGAACATAAAACACAAATCCAATGCATATAAATCATTTGATCCATCCATAATTGAACAGCCGAGAAAAAGAAAAATAAAAAAAAAAAAGAAAAAAGAAAAAGAAAAAGAGAGGTTACCGTATACCGTACGTACCTGAGCATGTTTGGCGCGAACATAAGGGCCATCACCAGAAGGAACTTTGTGTATAACATGAAAATTATCTCTTTCTTTCTTCGGACTACTATTTTTCAATACTCCTATTTCCATTTTCTTTTTTTTTTTTCTTTTTTTTTTCTTTAATTAATAAACTAATATATATTCTCTGTTCTATAGAAATAATTAAGCTTCACTTTATAATCAGTATGCAAGATTCTACGATGACAGGAATATAGGAGAGAGAGAGAGAGAGAGAGAGAGATTGGGATGCAGAAAAAATAGGCAGTTGGTTTTATATATATGTACGGGCGGGGAAGCAACTGAAGAATATAGAGAAGTGAACCTGGACGATGTAGCGTCCATATTCATATTTTAACTGATATTTACCACATACATACAATATATATATTATACAAATATATATATTTTGATACAAATATATTCAAAAATAAATTTTACTACCACCTATCAATTTGCAATCAATTATTAAATCATGTAAATAATTATAGAAAACAGTCACAAAAACATTTGAAATTTTGCTATTCAAACGTGTTTAGTTTTTACATTTTTAGAAATTGTAAATGAGCCATAAGATGTCCGGCGGGTGTTCTCGAGTGTGCGAAAACATTGAGAAGTTAAAGTTTTCGTGCTACATAGTTGATAACGCATCAGACTATTAAGGATTAATAGTTCAAGAAACAAATAACTTCTCTAGAGTATATTGTAAAATAAACAAATAATCTTGATTAACTCAGGGAGTTTGCTAATAAAATTGAATAAGAAGTAATTTTTGCTAATAAATGTAGAGGGTTTCTATTTATTTATATATAAAATTAAAGTAAACACAATCAGACACCTTTGAAATTGTTTTTTTGTTTTCTACTTTTGGTTTCATAGTTAATGATCAATTTAGTATGTATATCTCAGTGAAGTCATAAATTCATCCAGCCAAACTTTCTACATTCGACACAGTTGAACCTGGCCTTTATACAAAGACAGATACAACTAAAACCAACACTGTAAGGTCTGAAATAATAATAATAATAATAATAATAATAATAATAATAATAATAATAATAATAATAATAATAATAATAATAATAATAATAATAATAATAATATTATTATTATTATTATTATTATTATTATTATTATTATTATTATTATTATTATTGTTGTTGTTGTTACTGTAAATCGCCATATTCGTAATGCTCTTCAGTTTGATGATTGTGGCAATAAAATATAATAAAAATATAAGGAGATGAATGAGATTGCAAATGGACAATAAAACTTAGAAAGATAATTGTGGGTGTATTTTTGGGGAGGAAGTGATTTGATTATATAGGTAACAAGCCCTGGGAATTACAAAAAAGTTACACAAAGAGGTACATAAAAGTTACTCTACCACTAACGTCAAAGGATATTTGTGTGGTTATGTTAAGAAATCTCACATACACATTATTTACAACATTCTCACCTGAGGATTCCTATCAAAACCATTACTGTGTTCTTCGTTTTATCTTGTTAAAAACTTAGAAGTAATAAAAATTCAATGGGAGAAACAACATCGGTTAGGAAAAAAAGTACAACGCACAATCTTTCATCATTATCTAATGATGCATATGGATAGAACAAACATGTGTCTATTGAACCCTTAAGATAGCAAAATACGTCATTTACACCATTCCAATGTTGGTGTGTCGGTGCCGACCACCGCAAATTCAATGAACACGCAAGGACAATTATCGTTGTTCACGTATCTCATTCCGAGCAAATATTCACTCATGCGATTATATTACATTCTTCCGGATTATTTCAAGCTATAAAGTGAATGTTTCAGCCTAACTGAGACCGTGTTCCGTGGTCGAACTAATTAATGTCTTCAGGTAATCGAAGTCCTTTAGGGACTTTCATATATATATATATATATATATATATATATATATATATATATATATATATATATATATATATATATATATATATATATATATATATATATATGTATATATATTATGAGAAATATATTTTTTCCATGACCACTGTGAGCGCCTGATGCTGAT